GCTTTCTTAGGATTTGGTAACTTGTATGGAGGTTTTATCAATGCTGATCCCCATCTTGCTCGACTGCTTACAGCCCTTACCAAGAAGGATCAGCCCTTGGTCTGAACCTGTGAATGTCAACATTCCTTCACAAAGCTTAAAACAGCTGTTACATTAGAGACAAAGTAGTATGGTATTAGACATAGGACAAACTGGCATAGCGTAAAGGGCATGTCACGTGATTATTGGCAAAGATCATATGTTCGATCTCAGGGTCCATCGGAGTATTTGAAGAATAAGTTAATTTCTACCAATGTGACGCCAGCACAAAAGCCTCCTTTACACCACTACCAAAGGTCGCCAACCGAGGGGCTTTTGATAAGTCTTCAAGAGGAGACTCTCGGCTATTCTGACAAAGTCAAACAAACTAAATTGGTCACTTAGTTGTGCAGACAAACATATGTAAAGATCACTCAGCTGCGTCAATGGATGGATGCCAACCGGGAGAAGGTTGGCTACTCCGGTAGAAGTCCCCAGCTGCCATGCAGCCAGCAAGACCAAATTTCAAGTCTGTTGGTGGAAGAATGCGGAGGAAAGTCCTGATGAGGGGATGACGCCAAGAGAAGATCATTTGCCTACACCCAGAGGCATGATAAGGTAGAGTCAGATGAAGGCCTAACAAGTGGAAGGTTAACCCTAAGCGCTAGGAGGCTTAAATACCATTGGTTCAATAAGGAAGGAGTATGCCTCCTGTGGGTCGATACAGATGGATGAGAAATCTGCCTGCATTGATAAGTCTGTCATCGGAGCTGATCACTTTGTATGCAGAGATAGAACCAGTAGCCACTTGCCATGGCGAAAGGGTTCAAGTAACTATGAGTAAAGCAAACACTGCAAGGAGAGGGATGGAACACCCTCCCCACTATTCAAAGAAACAAGAGTCAAGTGGAGTAAAGGTTTTCAGGGTCTACGAAGTTTGTACAAGGAAATGTGGTAGAAGTAGATAGGCCACAAAAACCCAGATACGGAATATGAATATCAAGACGCCTCCGATGCTTTACAGACATTATCAGCGACAGAGAAGAGATCTTATCAATATATTCATTATACAATATATTATTTAAAATACTTCTATCCTGACATTTCAAATGAGCATTCCTAGCAATCACACCATCACGTATCAGGCCTTAGTCCATACTCGCCTGTCCTTAGAGTTGGCTACAGCCTCATACATGGCGTAACCAGCACGTCATATGATCATTGGCAGAAGCTCACATATTTGATCTGAGGGTCCATCAAAGTATTTGGAGAATAAGATAACTTCGACCAATGTGACACTGGCACAAAAACCCTCAATTAAGCTGCCACCAAAGGTCACAGACAGAGGTGTTTTTGCTGAATCCTCAAGGGTAGATTATTGACCATCCTGATAACTTGAAGGTTGAATAGGTTTATTTAGTCTATTGATTGTCGAGATAAATGCATGTAAAGATTACTTAACTGTACCAATTAATGAAAGTCAACTGGGAGATTACTCAGCTACTCCAATAGGAGTTCTGGGCTCTTACACCATCACCAAGACTGAGGAGCAAGTAAGTTGGTTGAGGAATGTAGAGGAAATCCTGAAAAGGGAATGATGTCCAAGAGATGATTGGTTATCTGCACCAAGAAACATGACAAGGTAGAGCTGGCAGAGGGCCTTCTGCCCAAAAGGTTGACTATGAGTATCAAGAGGTCAAATTTCTATTGGCATGATAGGAAGAATGCTTCTAGCATATTGACATGGAGGAATGAGAGGAACGAGAGTTTCTGAGTAATTGATAAGTCTGTCGCTAGAGCTGATCACTCTGTATACAGAGAATGAACCAGTAGCTGCTTGCTATAGTGAAAGGTTGTGAGTAACTATGTATTGAATGGATGCTGTGAGGAGATGGATGGGAACACCCTCTCCGTAGTCTGTAGCATTTATAGTCAAGTAGGGTAAAGGTTTTCAGAGTCTACGAAGTTTGCACTGAGGAAACAAGAGAAAATATGGGAGAAGTAGATAATCTGAAAACACCCAGATGCAGGATATAAATATTGAGATGTCTCCTACACTTATATAGACATCATCAGTGATGGGGAATGGGTCCCATGAATATATTTGTTAACGTATTATACCTGGTTATGGGTTACCCCTGAGCAATAGGTCAGTTTCGGCCTACTTGTAAAAGCCTCAAAAATTGCCACCACCAACTCAACATTAACTCTCCTAGCCTCAATCTTTGTAAAATAAAAGCTTTTAATTGTCATAGGATGTACGAGAAAAAGTAATTCCATAATAATACAAATTACAGTATTGTGACCCCAAAGTGATAGTTTATGATTTAATCAATATTGTCCTCAGAATCAGAGCTTAAAATGACTTGATAGTTAACCTTTTTACATGAGGAGCATAGGGGGCGGATGGTTCTTGGAGCCATGTTGTTAGAAATCAGATTTTCCTCCTAGAAAATGTGAGCTATTAGTTTGAAAATATGATATAATAAGAACTTATCTACTTACTAATTCAGTGGACTCATTACTGTCTATATCATCCTCCTCTACATCTATTATCCCCAGATTTTTATCATCCCTTGGCTGGGACCTAGCCTTTCTCCTGGAAGTAACCATGTGCAATTTTGTCTTCAGTTGCTGTCGTGAGATCCTCTTCTTTGTAGCCACATTCTTTTTGCATATATCCTTATTCTCACAGTTTTAATAAAGCTTTGAAAGAACTGAGGTATGAAGAATTAGGTCACCCTTAATCTGATGGTAGTCTGTAGTACTGAGCTTGACAGCTTAGAGCCTGGTAATAGTTGCAGCATCTAGAATAGACTGGGCATTTGTCTTGCTACACAAGTTTAAAGCTTTGTTTATAAGAGTACCACTTGCATCATATAGTTCAAGGTTGTTGGCCTCCTCCCTGATCTTATCGAGTTCAGATGATGTCTCTGCATGTGTGGGGAGGGAACGGAGTCCAGAACATAGTTCATTCATAGGCTTGGACTGAGGAGTAGACAATTGAAGCCCAGACTGGCTCAAAACTCTCTGCCAATTGAACAGGATCATGCCACTTGCCCTCCAAGCTGACAGAATATTCCTCCCACTCATAGCCTTAGCACTGGTCTTGTGGTATATTGGATAAAAGTCACCTTTATGTATTGTCCAATTAGGTCCATGATCGCGGTGAATGTCTTGCAACTTCTTTCAATAACCTGTTCCTATAGGAGAAGATTCCAATATCTAAAGCTTGAAGAACATGGGTTGTATGACCAGAAAGACATATCAGGTTGACGTTCATCTTAATGCAGTATTCAATGAACTTGATATTATTGACATGAGAGCTGTGTCTATCCAAAATGAGCATTCGATGATTCTTGATTCCATTTTCTAGCCTTGTTTTTAGTTCAAAAATGTTTACCAACAGGTTCAATGTGATCTCAGTTGTGGTGTACCCTGCCTTTAAGTGTATAAAGTAGGCATCTGTATTCTTCTCATAGTTGATGTTACTATGATGCCCCATCAAATGTGCATTGGAGGTGTGAATAATAAGAGGCAGAATTGACTTTCCATTACCAGAAATGGCTTCCACTACAATAACCCATGACCGCTTCCCATCCTGCATAATCCTTGAATTCTTCCTACCAGTACAACATAAGATTGTCCCACTATCTCACAAACCCATTGCAAATCCCTTCTCGTCAGTATTCCAGGTATTTTCTGGCTTGATATGATATTTGCAGCGCATATTGTAGTAGTGATTAGTGTGTTCTTTGAAGATTGCTAGATTAGTGGCAAGGGATCACCGCTTATCCAAGGTCTTCTCAACCTTGGATTGAATCTCTGGATGTCTTATAATGAATCAATCAACCCCATGCTTCCCGATTTCTCCTATTTTCTCTTTCCTTTTCTGCAACTGGTACACTATATCTAAAACATGTCTCCGGAGGAGAGGTTTCTCTCTATCATCACAATCTTTGATCCCGTGAATAATAACACTCTCTACAATCTTGGTAAGTAGTTGCTGCTGCTCATAAGCCTCTGGGACAGGTGTAGTCTCGTGTCGAAGGCAATTTTGCAAAGTTGTGTTGGAAAGACTAAAGAGTGTGGCAATTTTGTGTACTGAGAGCTCAGGATAGTCAATTCTGTGCTGCAAAGTAGCTCGAATGATGCTCTCCTTATCAGCTTTCTTGGAAGCCATAAAAGATTAGATTTGGATAGCTTGTTGTTGAAATTTCATATGCTGTAGGAGTATTGTATTGGGACTGAAATCTTAGAAGAAAATATACAAGATAGAACAGAATAGCCTGCCTTAAATACTCGCTGCCTAGACCTGATATTTTTCCTACATCAACCTGAGACCTATAACCTAATCGCTGCATATTAATTCTTGGAGCTTTCTCAACCCGGAACTCCAATAACAAGCATTTGTACTAGCGTGATAAATAATGGTTTTATAATGCCAAAGGTTTATCTTTAAATATTTTTGCATTATACTTTACAGTTACAAGAACTAGGTCTATAGCTTCTATTACATGAAATATTGGGTCCTAAGAGGAAAGATTGGGTTGCTAGTTGCGATTTTTGATACTTTTACATGTAGGCCGAAACTGACCCATTACTAGGGGGTGACCCATAACTAGGTATAATATGTTAGTATGGAAAATATTTCGACCTGCATGACTGGGATCATGGAATATCACTTGCTACTTCCCCAGAATAAAAGTGCGCTCTTTTGTTCTTCTGCAGCAGTAATCATGGCATATCACTGACATTTCCCTATTTGTCATAATCTCTATAGAAGTACCCTACCTGTTGACGAAGTGTGCCCAACTTTTGCTTGCTCCCTTGTACTTGTAAGGTTCGAGCTTTAGAGCGTTGTACTGTACTCGAGTATAATACTTTTTTTTTTTGTTAAATGCTTTGATTGTTTAAGGACACAATCTCTGTATACAACCACTAGGTTAGGACATAAAAGCCCAAAAAAGTTTGTCTCATGAAGCCCCACGCGGGGGTCGAACCCGCAACCTTGAGATTAAGAGTCTCACGCTCTACCGATTGAGCTAGCGAGGCGATTACTATACTTGAGTACTTTCCCGAGTATGTTTATAGTAGTAGTACATTTAGCAACACACAATAGTATTGTACGAGTACTTTTACAGTATAATATTACTCAAGGCTTAGTATCAGGTATCTATTCCACGAGCGCTACAAGGTGTTCGATCAACTTATAAACTTAACATGCATTCCGCATATATAGGGACTCGCTTATTCCTCCAGAAGGCGAAGCCATAGGGGGGGGTTAGGGACACGCCCAGTTCGTGAATCCGTATGGCGCTGTAACATGGTCTTTACTTTGTGAGAGATACCGCCTCTCGGCCGGCCGGAAGGGAAGTGCAGTTCTCCTTCAAGAGCCTTGCCCCCGATGGTGCTAGAGAATCGGAATCACAGGAGGCACTGTACTGTTTCACAAATTCCTAGCCCACTTGTGGAGCTGCCATTAGGCAGCTGAAGGGCTGATGAATGAACCCCGCATCCCCTAAACTCACTGGAACATTGTCAATCGGTCAAAAACTCTTCAACAACCAACCCCCGACGGCACTTCGGGGTACGGAAAAGAGGAAAATGTCTCGAGCTTATACCGAAAACATCAGTTCTTTCAACAACGTGTTGAATAGCTTTACGTTTCTTTCTGCCGATGATGAATCCCATATCCTGGCCTGGTTATCTCCTCTAGAGCCCTGCGTGCGGCATCAGGACATTTGCACTCAGCGGGTGGATGGCGTGGGGCGCTGGCTACTGGAAACCAAGGAGTCCAGGATTTGGTATCATGGTGGTGAGAAACACGACTCAGCTCGTCCGGCCTTGTTCTGCTATGGAAATCCGGGAGTCGGTAAGTGCTACATCAGGTATGAGGGACCACCAGTACGGAACAAGATAATGAAATTATTGCTGAACTGTCGCTATGGTAGTTCCGTGGTTGTAGACTATTTATGCGACCCGGCCAGAGAGCAAGACATTGCCGTCGCTTGTTTTTACTATGACTTCGCTTCCCGGGAGCAGCAGTCTCCAACAAATATGCTCGGCGCTGTGCTTAAGCAACTTCTTGGGGGACTGGGAGGAATTCCGGTAGAAATCAGGCGGAAATTTCGGGACCGGAATAAAGTGATTGGTGGCCGAGAACTACAACTCCCTGATATTGTGAGCATGTTCCAGACGGTCTCATCCTTACAACGAACATTCATATGTGTTGATGCGCTTGACGAATGTGCTCCAAAGCATCGAGTTGAGGTTCTTGATGTGCTGCGGCAAATTCTCGAGAGGTCACCAAGAACTCGAATGTTCATGACAGGAAGGCCGCAAGTCCAGGGGGCGGTTGACAGGGAACTCGCTGGGAGGGCAGCGAGTGTATTGGTAAAGCCTATGGACTATGATATAGTCACATATCTGCGTGCGAGACTGCGAAGGGACACAACTCCCGAGGTGATTGATGGCAGGTTGGAGAATGATATTACGAAGATTATTCCCGAAGAGGTCTCGGAATCGTACGTAGCAGCGGGTGACCAGGGAACCTGCTTTAGTCATATACTGATAGACACAAATCTGGATTTCTACTGGCTTCGCTCAAGGTGGAGTCAATTCTGAGAGAAACAACAATCCATCGGCGGCGGAAGAGACTCAATGCGAGGGATGGGTTGGGGTTAGGGGATGCATACGAGGCAACGCTAGAACGTATTAGAGCACAGGACAGGGAGAAAGCAAAACTTGCAATGGCCACCTTGATGTGGATATGTCATTCGGAACGGCCGTTACAGGTGGATGAACTGCGTCATGCGCTCGCTGTAGAGGTCGGATCTACAAATTTCTATAGCGACAATATTCCTGCGACAGAGACATTGCTTGACTGTTGTCAAGGGCCGGTCACCGTGGATAAGGAAGTCTCGACTTTCCGGTTAATTCACCGTACACTCCACGAGTTCCTTTCCACCCACCCCAGCATTCACCCCCAAGCTCACTCGGTGATGGTGGAAACCTGCTTGACCTATCTAAATTCCGACCAGGCCAAGGCCCTTTCAGCTAAACCCCAACCAAACCGCTCCAGGTCATTCCTCGAATATTGTTCGAGATATTGGGGTACCCATATAAATAGAGGACTTTCAGATCATGCAAGATTTCTTGCAATTCTGCTCTTGGACCAGTACGAAAATCACGTAGCCGCTAAATCACTTTTTGAACAAGTGTTGGAACCATATGATTCCCCCGAAGTCAATGCTATCCCTCAGTTTAGCGGATTACACTGTGAATGACTGCGACCACAACCAGCGAGATTCCGCGGGTATGGCACCGCTAATATGGGCCGTAAGGAGCGGACATGGCAAGGCGGTGAGGCTTCTGCTAGAACAGGAAGCGGTCAATCCCAACAAGACAGACAACAAGGGCCATACACCCCTGCACTGGGCCGCGATGAAAGGGCACGAGTCAGTGGTTAAGCAACTTTTGGACCAGAACGACGTCAATCCCGACGAGCTAAGCAGCAAGGGCCATACACCCCTCTCCTGCGCCGCATTTAACGGGCGCGGGTCAGTAGTTAAGCAGCTGTTAACCAGGGAAGATGTCAACCCCAACAAGCCAGACAACGCGGGCCGGATTCCCCTTTCCTCCGCTGCATTTAATGGGCACGAGTCAGTAGCTAAGCAACTTTTGGATCGGGGAGATGCCAACCCCGACACGCTAGACAACAAGGGAAAGACACCATTTCACTGGGCCGTGGTGAGGGGGCATGAATCAGTGGTTAAGCAGCTTTTAGGCCGGCAAGACGTTAGCCCCGACAAAACAGACAATGCGGGCAGGACTCTCCTCTCCTGGGCTGCGGAGATCGGGCGCGAAGCGATAGTGAAACTACTGCTTGGGCGGCAAGATGTACGCTCCAACAGGCCGGACAAAAGCGGTCGCATACCGCTCTCTTACGCGCGTGCCGAGGGACATGCAGGAGTGGTGGGTCTACTCCAGGCCTGGAACCCTCCGACCCAACTCCGCCTTGAGACCCCCGAGTAACTAGCTTCTTCACCTTCTTCGTGCCCTTGACCGTCATTATCTACTATTCCCACATCGCTCCCACAGCAGGACCCTATGCACTCGCTTTCAGCCCCTCATCTACCTCTCCTTCGGACCCGTTGCGCCTACAACACGGTCTTATCGCGTTCTCTTCCTTTGCCTGTTCTTTCCTTTCCTTCCAGGTTAGTGCTTGTCCCCGGTCTTGGAAACCCTCCAGGTCGGGAATCTCTTGTTTTTGGAATTTTCATCCTGTGTGTAATTATCGGTGACCTCTCGCATATTCCATTACGTGGTGGAGTAAAGAATTTTCAGCCTCCATTTGGGTGGTTGTGGCATAATACGGAGGTGGGGGTATTTTCTTATTTCACTTTTGTTCTTGCAACCCTTATGCCATTTTCTCATAGTTGTTTCACTTTCCCTTATCGATTCCCTCTTTCATGAATGATGGCTTCGCTTCGTCTTCTATAGTTGTTAGATCATCCCCCATCGCTCTCTCATGTGAAAGGTAACTACAACCACTTGAGCAATTAAGTTAGGTTATTTTTGCATCGTACCAAAATTACTACTAAACCATTTCCCAATCCTCCCCTGAGCGAGTTGTTTACATAGATTCACCCACCCCACCATCAACCTTTCCCCAATCGTTCCAGCCCATACACGGCTGCCTCCATGAGCTCGCCCTACCACGCTTGTTAGTTATGACAACAATTACACCCCCTGTGCACCACTCCCCGCACGAACAACTTTACCACAGCCTGAGAAAAATTAGTTGTGTCCGGGTATCCTCTAGTCTAAGTAATCCGGAACGACTGGGCTTCTGCAACCACGGTGTTAGAGACCTAGCATAATTTGAATCCTAAGCCATCCGATGATTCGACTTCTTGGCCTACTACCCCCCCATAGGTCCCGGAACACCGATAGTCTAATTTACTTAGGACTCTACCTCACGAATTAAATCCCCGCGGTTGACTGAACTCATGACAAGGAACCAGAATTCTGCACCATACGAAGTGACATGGGTATTTTGGGAGAGAAAATGAGTTTATAGAACAGAGCGGATGCATGATCAAAATCTCTCAAGAAATAGGTCTTACAGAAACCATTTGCTTATCAGTTTGCCAAATGGTGTTTCCATGGAAAAGGGTTAAAGAATGATTGGCGACATCTTGTCGATCTACCATCAAACAAGGCTTCTCCACAGGATCAGTCTCGTGAAGCATAGAAGCCTAGTGCGTGGTTTCCTAGAAATCCAAGTTTATTCCTATCAACATTGGGTTGGTACAGCCAATCTCTCGATGCCGGCAGTGGGCAGCCGGGGTTACCAAAGAATCAATTTGTTGTGATTATATTGATAGGATATTTCACGATGAGCTTGAATGATGAACTGCTTGACCTTTGGAAAGGAAGGGCAAGATGCCCAGACTATCTACCATCAGAAGCGAGACATAGAGGATGAGCAAACAACAGAAGAAAAGAAAGGAAACAGGAAGCGAGGAGGTATATTCAATAGTGTTAGAGGTCTGGACTAGAGATCTAGACTCAGCTATAAGGTCTAAAGCAAGGAGTGAAACAGTAGAAGTGCTACCGCAGTAGTGCCAGAAGCATGTTTCAACACAATTGAGAAATGGGATACGAGTGATATGTGATGATTCTTGCCCTTTGAAACAACAGAATTTAATAATAAATAAGTAGCAAGGGATATACTATGGCCAAACTACTAACAGCGATAAATTGGGAAAGGCTAGTAGAAACCTGTGTTCATTCAGCCTGTGACGCGGCGATCTATTGCGCACCACCCATTATGGGCGGAAATGGGCCCAACTGAACGCCCGGATATAACCGGGCCCCGGGATGTGTGTCTGCTCTCGGACCTCTCTACATACAAGGCGGACATCTGCGGAACTTCAATAGAATTCGCAAAACATCTGATTTTGCACCTGCAGTAATCCAGGATGCTCCTTTCTGGCTGTTTAGGAGTGCTCGTGCCCAGGGTTATTAATGTTGCGGCGGACTTCTAT